ATTTCTGGCATTGTGTGTCTGGATTTCCCCTATTTCAGGCATTGTGTGTCTGGATCTCCCCTATTTCAGGCATTGTGTGTCTGGATCTCCCCTATTTCAGGCATTGTGTGTCTGGATCTCCTCTATTTCAGGCATTGTGTGTCTGGATCTCCTCTAATTCTGGCATTGTGTGTCTGGATCTCCTCTATTTCAGGCATTGTGTGTCTGGATCTCCTCTATTTCAGGCATTGTATGTCTGGATCTCCTCTATTTCAGGCATTGTGTGTCTGGATCTCCCCTATCTCAGGCATTGTGTGTCTGGATCTCCTTTTTCTCTCTCTCTAACTGTTCCAAGGAAATGTTACTTCACAATGAAAAATAGAAAACAAAATCTGCTACCTTGGACACATTAATGCAGGTTTTATATTCATGTAATCATTCTTATTAACACATCAAGATATGTTCTGTCAACAGCAGGTACATTATTATTATTACAAATACAAATTAAGATTATCAAAAACTATGCAACAGAAGTTTTAAAAGTTTTTTGACTTGTTTTCATCACTCACATGATTCATAAATAACTAACTGATGTAAATTTTAGACTTGGGCCAAATTACCGTTATTAGTTGTAACACGACTTTACCAAATTATGTTTGCTAGTTTTTGTAGATTAGTATATTTGATTAAAAAGATTTGTTTTTAGAAAGGTCATCTTCAGGTGCTAATGTAATATGATTATTGCAAGAGGGTCGAATACTGTCCGTTAGTATACAGTCCTATTAAAATGGTACACGTTTGCCGATTACTTAAACTAGAGTCAATAGCAGTAGGTTTACCATGATCCATGGTTTACAAAAACAAATTATTAATTTGAGACTTGAATCTTTACCCAGAAATATAACCAAATACTTGCTGATTATATAGGGACTTTGGTGTATTTTAGTTTATTATGAAATTGTGCCAAGTCCAACACCAATATATATATAATTTGTTAACATAATTTGTACATTATGTACTCAAAATATTTTATGCTCCATAGAGCGACCAAAATTTTGTGCACGAGCCCAAAATTTTCCCCCAAAATTTAGCTAATAATTATTATAAATAAAGATTTCCATCAAAAAACAGAATGTTATTCTTCCAAACACAAAAAGAAATTGAGATGCTAATCTCCATCACACAAACCATCACAATTGTTAAGTATTGGTGAAAAGAACATTTCTAAAGCTTTTATATTGCTATATCCAAACTGAAACTTTATTGTATTTTATATTAACTTAGGGCATTTTAAGAAAACGAGTTAAATAAGCAAGACACCTTTATAATAAGGTAATGTCATCATTGTTGGCACTACTGCTATCATCTAGTAAAGAAACTCAATTTTAAATATGAAAGATTTCGTTTACAAAGCTTCAACATCTATAAACACAACAGTAAACCAAATATTTTTTAAAAACTCATTGTTTATTTTTTGCATGTGTGTCAGTTATATCATAGATTAGGTACCATCTATATGTTAGATATGAATTTTTGTATACTTCTACATAGTTGATGATCCTTAACCAAACAAAAATTGTTAAAATGTCATTTTTGCTTTGAGCTGTAAAACACTGAATTTCTATTGAGAGATGGACAAGTAAAACATTGCCAAAAAATGGGTAATTTTCAAATGTTTTACAGGTGGCCCTTATTATGCTTTTGCTGGTCGAGATGCTTCAAGAGGATTAGCCACTTTCTCGGTAGAAGCAACCAATGATGAATATGATGATCTCTCAGACTTAAACACTATGCAGATGGAGAGTGTGCGGGAATGGGAGATGCAATTTAGAGGTAATGTCTTTATGAAATGAATCTTAAAAAATGACTTTAATTAGAAACTTAACCCTAAGTTTTAACAGCCAGCAGAAAGAGGATTAGCATATGTGTTCAGCTTCATAACATGTGAGGTGTTTTGCTTTGGAGAACAGTACCTGCTATTTCCAGTTTATAGTTAAACAGCCAAGACAAAGTCTAGATTTTACAGTTGTTTCTAGTTAAGCAGCTAAGACAAACTCTACATGTGAGTTGTTTATAGTTAAGCAGCTAAGACAAACTCTACATGTGAGTTGTTTATAGTTAAGCAGCCAAAGTCAAGATTTTACAGTTGTTTATAGTTAAGCAGCCAAAGTCAAGATTTTACAGTTGTTTATAGTTAAGCAGCCAAAGTC